TCAAAAGAGTCTTTGCGTGTGGGGGCCTACCCCGCCACGGCTGTCGGAGCCGGCGCTTCCCATGTATTCCCTTTGCACCGGCGAGGCCGTGGCCCAGCCTGCTGACCACCGCTCCCTGCTCTTGCAGCGACCTGACCAACGGTGCAGATGGGACGCTGGCCACCAGCTCCAACGGGTCTCAGTACAGCAGCTCCCGGGTGGAGACCCCAGTGTCCTGTGTCGGGGAGGACGACGACGACGACGACTTCAATGAGAACGACGAGGAAGACTGACTTCCCGGCCGCAGCCTCCCGCCTCAGTTCATCTTCAGGAACAGGGACCTGGGGAAGAGAAGTGACCGTGGGCTTAGTGTCTTTGGGCCCGCTCCCGAGAAGGCACTGGCGAGCTGCTGGCTTGTGACCTGCGCCTCTGAGCGCGAGGGCTGTTTTCGCGGGACCGTGCAGTGCGCCGGTCGGGTTTGCGCTCTGATTTTCCATGTTTTCCCCAAATTCAGAGTTCATTTCTGACCCTGGACAGTTCTTGCTGAGCTTACTGAAGTTGCGCTTTGCCCACACCTGCAACCCGACCGTAGACTGCGCTCTGTGGACGGCCGCACCGACGCCGCGTCTGCCACGTGAAGCACTGGCCGTGGACATTAGGGGCCCGCAGTCCTGCTCGAGTCACGTGGCGTCCAAAGACCCAAGCAATAGCAGAACTCGACCTAAACATCGAGCCCATAAATTGAATTAGGACTCCGTCGCCCCTAAATTATATTGACTGCTGCGGTTCCGCCACGCTGACGCGCGTGCTCTGGCAGCAAGCTGCAGGGTACTTGTGTGTTTGCTAGAAGCTCACTGGCACGCTGGCGCGGCTCGAGCTGTCTGGGACGCTTGGAATGGTTTATTGCTTATGGTAAAATTCGCCTGATTTCTTACAGGCAGTGTTTGGAAACTTTTTATCCTGTAGTTGTTTACATACTGACCTGTCTCATTTAAAGATATGTACTGAAACAAATGTCTATTTGTTTCATAAGCATCTTCCTGTAATCTATTATAAAGTTGAAATTAAATATAGAGAATGTTTTAACAGTTTTTTAACTCAAAATTTGTCAATCATTTTTAATAGTTCTTTTTTTATAAAAAGAAAGAGAACTCGAAGGACAGGCAGTGGTTGCTTTTAAAACTTCCTCACCAAACAGTAACGGCGCAGCTGCTGTTAGCCGCCCGCTCTAAAATGATCTTTTTATTGAAACACAGATAAACCTTTTCTGTAATATTTTATGGAATATAAAGAGACTTTAATTGTTTGACTTGTTAAACTTGGCACTGTTAGTTTTTATTAATAAAACGCGCATGGGCATTTAATCAAGCTCTGTATTTCTCTACTTCAGGATGATTGTCTAGAATCTGTTCTGTCTTCGGCCTCGCTTTGCTCCTCAGTGGAAAGGGAGACTGCGGTGTGCCCCGCACTGTCCCCTGAGCGTGCAACCCCAGCCCCGTCTGGAGGGTCAGAGGCACCTCCCCTGGAGTCCGCCCTGATGGCAGAGGGCGGCCAAGGATGGAGGTCGTGCTGGACGCAGCAGAGGACGCCCTCTGTTCCGGAGGGGCAGACGGTCAGCCGGTCAGACCTCCTAGTCCATGCAGCAGGGACTGCACGTTCTTATGTGCCCATGGGGACACTTGTGGTACAAATTAAGTTGGTAGATTTTGAAAGGTGCCCTCATATGGAATAGCTTCTGCCCACAGTGAGATAAAGGTTGGAAATCAGCACCACGAATGAAATTGGAAAGCCCATGACCCTGAAAATAACTCTTAAAAGTGATGTGAGGGACCAGCGGGCGTCTGGTTAAGGCGCTGGACTACCCCATGGCTGTCTGCAATCTGAGTCCTGGACCTGGTGGCTTGAGATTTATACTGGGTGCGCATGTATACGTGCCCAAAATCCCAGGAAGGGAATGGGAGGAGATCGCGGCATGGGCATTTCCCCCCGGGGGTGATTTCTCGCTTTCCCTCTTCCTGTCTCGCTCTGGTAAGCACCTGCCCTAATTCTTAGGCAGAACCCTTACTTAAAAAGCCACCCCGTCAGGCTAACAGCGGACCTCTTGTCAGAAACAGTGCAAGCAAGGAAAGAGTAGGAAAATAAGTGAAAAACAATTTCAACCAAGATTACTATATCTGGTAGGATTTTCCTTCATGTGGGAAGCCTGAAACATTCTCAGATAAAATCTAAATGAATTTACAACACTAGACCAGCTCTTCAAGGAGTTCTGAAGGGAGTGCTATACCAGGAAAACCAAAGACAGACACAAAAGAACAAAAATGACCAAGAGAAAGGCCAACTTTCTGACCAGTTCAGAAATATCACTATTAATGTTGAATGTTAACTTCCAGGATTTAAATGGAAAGGTTAGACCACATTAACACTGCAAATTCAATAAAAGAGAGATTGATTACATGAGGCTGGAAAAAAAAGTGCGGCACGTATTCTCTATGGAATACTACTCAGGTGTATAAAATAATGAGACCCCTTCATCTGATAGAAAGTGGACGAATATGGAAGATTTACTGCTAAGCAAAGCAAGCCAGACTACAAAAGAGGCATCGTATGTCCCCGTTCAAAATATACCAAATATCTGCACTCTATGGCAGGAACTGAAAGATTGAAGATATAAAAGCACAGAGAGGAACTGTGGATACTAGAGACAGTGTGGGAGGAAAGTGAGGAACAGGGTGAAAGGGAGGGAATCAAGGGGAAAAAAGCAAAATATTTAAGGGACACAAAAATGGAAAATTGTCTTGTCGATAATACGTATGACGATATCTTTGAGCCAATATACAGTGCATTCTGGATGGGAAAATATAATGATATACAATGATTGACTATAAAAAATAAAAAAATAAAACAGCAATTTTGGGACTAGCAGCTGGCATAATGGCTATGTCACTGGACTCCCACATAGTTGATCCCGGTTCAAGTCCTGGACCCAGTGGCTTAAACTCACACTGGGTGCATGTGCGTGCATACCCAAGATCCTGAGAAGACAATGGAGGAGAAGGGATTGTGATATGGCCATTCCCCCCTGGGGGATGACTTCTTGCTTTCTGTCTCTCTCTGTCTTTCTGGCGAGCGCACACACCCTATAGCAAAAAAACTCTCAAAAAAATTATTAAAAAAAATTACAAGGCAAATTAAATACTTAGAGACAAATGGATGAAACACAGCAACCAAAACTTACAGGGTGCAGCAAAAGCTGTGCTGGGGGGGAAATTCATAGCTATTGACACGTTAAAAAACAAGATCAACAACTTCACCTAACAAGCTCAGAAACTAGGGAGAAAAGCCACAAAGCTAGCAGAGGGGAAAAAATGAAAGTTTAGAGCAGAGAAATGAGATCAGGAATAGAAAAGCAATGGGGAAAATGAATAAAGCAATCTTGACAAGACTTCAGCTAAGTGCACTAAGAAGATTCACGGAACTAAGAAAGTGAAGTTGGGGGCTTTCTCGCCAATTCTTCAGAAACAAAAAGGATGATAAGAGATTACTACAGACAGTTGTGTGTCAAATTTGAAAATCTAGATGAAAAATTAGGACAAATACTTAGTAGATAAAATTTACCAAGACTAAGCCAGAAATTAAGAATCTGAATTAGCTCTCTGATTACTAAGGGGAGTGAATTAGTCTTTAAAAGATCTGTTAAAGAAAAACCATGGGCCCAGTGGCTTCTCTGGCAAGTTCTATGAAACATGGAAGGACCAGTCATTCTCAGACTTCCCTGGACAATTGAAGAGGAGGGAATACATCCTAACTCCCCTGAGGCCGGAGCCAGCCAAAGATTTTGTAAGTAAAGAAAAACAGGTTAGAACACCCGTGGGCATTGGTGCGGAGACCCCCAGCAGACACCTGCAGCACGCAGGGGGACGTGCCTCCACTGTGGAGCCTATCCTGGAAGGTGCGAGTGGACCCGCACAGAACCCGCCGGCATAGCAGCGCGTACGAGGGAGAGGGGAACTCTGGTCCTCTCACCGGGGTAAAGAGCATTTTACAACATGCACCCTTTTACGGCAAGGTTTAAGAAGAAGGAAAGCACTCCGGTGTGATCCAGCTGGTGAACGCCGTGCTGGAGAAGGCGCCACCCCAGGTCAGGGACGAGGCGAGGCCACTGCGCTGCTCGCCGGCACAGGACGGGAGTCTCTAGCCAGCGCAGCAGTACGAGAATGGGTGAAAAGCCGTCCGGAAGCGAGAACACACCCGCCTGTCAATGCCCCCACAGAAAACCACAAGGAATCCACTAAAAACAGTTCGAACCCATCAGTTACACGAGGTTGTAGGACGAGTTAATAAAAAGCAGCTGCATTTCTATTGACTAGCAAGGGAAACGCCGGAAGGAAATGGAAGTAATCCCACTTCGAGTGGCATCAGAACATACTTAGGAATCCCGTCACCCGGGGAGGTGGAAGGCTCGCACAGCTGTTTCCCCATTCCGTGGTGGGCACATTCCAAGACCCCAGGGGCGCCGACACTGGTTAGTGCCGACCCGGTGTGGACTCGGCTTTTGCCACCTGATGAGCGAGTCGGCTAGGTGCCCACCAGCTGGGTGGAGTTGGGGATGGACCAAGGGAGGGCTGACGCCCTGGCTGAAGTGGAGTGGGAGGCCACAGACATCACCCTACGCAGAATGGCACACAGCTTAAAGTAATGAGCTGTTTGTTTCTGGAATCTTCCATCTAATGATTTTGGACTGCAGTCGTCTGTGGGTAACTGCAGAAAGCAAAACCGCGGATGGGGAAGTGGGGATTTACTGTACCATGAAGTCTATAAAACATCGCTGAGAGAGATTAAGGTGGCAGAAAAGTGGGGGCACCTTCTGTGGTTATGGGTCGAAGACAGTGTGGTCAGGGTGGTAACCCAGTGACCTGGGGGTCAGTGCAGTGCCTGCACCTCAGCCAGGACCCTGAGCGACCTGCATATCCAGGCAGTCCCGGAGAGGAGTGAAGTGGGAGGACTCAGGCGTGCCAGCTCAGAGCTCACGGCAGAGCCATGGTGGCCACAGTGTGGTCTGCACAGACACGCAGCCCAAGGAGAGCCCTCCTCTGTGAGGTCACAGGGCTTCCCAGGGTGCCAGGACCATGTGATGGGAGGGGATGGTGTTCCCAGTTGGTGGGGCCGGCCAGCTGAGTGTGGGAGGCCATGTTCAGGCTTGGGGCCGGGGCCTGGTGAGTGTGCACACAGCGTGCGTGCCTGTGCGTGCATGTGTGCGTGTGGTCCCGAGTGTGCACACAGCGTGCGAGCCTGTGCGTGATGTGTGCGTGTGCCCCCCAGTGTGCACACAGCGTGCGTGTGTGCGTGTGCCCCCGAGTGTGCACACAGCGTGCGTGCCTGTGCGTGCGTGTGTGCGTGTGCCCCCGAGTATGCACACAGTGTGCATGCCTGTGCGTGCGTGTGTGCGTGTGCCCCCGAGTGTGCACACAGCGTGCGTGCCTGTGCGTGCGTGTGTGCCTGTGGCCCCGAGTGTGCACACAGCGTGCGTTCCTGTGCGTGTGTGTGTGCCTGTGGCCCCGAGTGTGCACACAGCGTGTGTTCTTGTGCGTGCGTGTGTGCGTGTGGCCCTGGCTGGCTGGGAAGGCTGGGGGAGCAGGGCGTAAGCTCCTGAAAGGGTTTTCTGTCTCCCTTCCTTCCTCCTCTCCAGAAAGATGGAAACAAAGGGAGAAGCTTAAGATAAAATTAAACGATACAGTGTTGGGAAAAGTGATCACTCTCATGCGAAAGTCTGAGGCTGGCTGTCAACACCAGGAAAGCAAACAGTGGGGCCAGTGGGTGGCATGGTGGTTGGGTTGCTGGGTTCCACGTGCCTATCTGTGGCTCAGGTTCCAGCCCTGGCAGCCTGAGAACCATGTGGACGTGTACGTGGTCCATCTCCCTGAGGGGTGATTTCTCACCTGCTCTGTTTCTCTAGTGAGTGCATGTCCCCTGTGGCAAAAATCTTAAAAAAAAAAAGAAAAAGACCTAAATGTATGATTAAACTGTAGGGCTCTTAGAAGGAGCAAAGCTCAAGGCCAGCAGGTGGTGTGGTGGTTAAGGGCACTGGACTCTCACGTGGCCCACCGCGGTCCGAGTCCCAGACCTGGCGGCTTATTTTCTCTCCCTCTTTTTCTCTTTCTCGCTCTGTCCCTCTCTGGTCAAATTAAAATAAATAAATAATGTTAATTAAAATAATTTTTTGACGCGCGGCTCTGTGGGGGGGGGGGGGGCTTGGAGACTGCGCGTCGATAGATACGGTTCACACTGAGCAGGGCCCGGGACGCAGGGAGGGCTTGCCCCGTTTCTGATTGGGGCAAGTGCCCAGAAAGGAAGAGAACGCTGAAAATGGCTGCAAGGAAGCCGGAAGCCCGGCTGAAATGGGCAGGGACCAGAGCAGGCGTCTCCCTGTGAGGAGTCACAGGCGCCTGGGCGTGGAGGTTAATGAGAACCCTGAGGAGACGGACAAGCACAGAGCGGCCTTTTGCACCTTCTGGACGGCGTCCATTGGCAGCCAGAGCACCGGGCGCGCGCTGTGGGGGCTCCGAGGCCTTGAGCACTTGGGGGAGCACAGTCGGGTGCAGCCTCCAGAAGACTGGCCGCTCCTCGAAGACTAGGACACTGGGAGCTCGGGCCACTGGCTGTCCCTCCCCGCCTCCACTCGCTGGCAGGTGTGTGACGGGCTGAGGCGAGGACGGCCTGGGAGCCCTGCACGTCCCCTCCAGCCTCCCAGCACCTGCTGCAGCCCCTGCCCGCAGTCGCGTGTCCACACGGTGTCCGCGGACTCCCTACCAGCCGCTGGCCTGAGACCTCATGCGGGACACCAGGAAGCCCCGGGAAGGTCCAGCACCATGGCCTCTGCCATGACGCTGCAGGTTCCGGCCCTTCCCCAGCAGCTACCAGGGGCCAGTCTGCACAGTGCCCGTGTGCTGGGCCCCCGGTGCCTGGGAGAGGCTGGGCGCACAAGGCCGGCCTAGCATTTGGGGAGAAGCCAGTGGCCTCGGTGCAGCGGGTTTTCCCCGGGGGTGGGCGTTGGCGCTTGCAGAGCATGGAAGACGGGACTGCCTGCGGACGGGAGGTCAGCTGGGGGATTGCTTCCTTTTACCTTTGCCGGCCGGTGTGTGCTCGCAGAGGGAGAAAGAAAATGAGAAAGCACCCCCAGGGGAGTGGCCGGGTCTCAGTCCCTTCGTCTGTCCCTCCTGTCGGGGTTTGGGCACGCACATGTGGGCCTGGCATGTTTCTCAAGCCAGGTGCAGGGCTTGGACTGCACATGTGGCCACATGGGACCAGCTGCCTTAAGACCAGGCCACGGGCTGGCCCCAGCGTGGACTTGAACTTCCGTGTCCACTCACCCTTGTTTCCTGAAGCTGAGTGTGCCCAGCTGACAGCCTCCCGCCAACGTGGTTTCGAAGTTCCCTGACTTATAACTGAAATTTCAAAAGAAGATACTTAAAGGAAGTTTTCATTTTTATTTCCAGAGGGGCATGTGCTCACCAGAGGGAGTGGGGGAGCATCCCACCAGTGTGGTCTCATGTAACTTCCTCTCCCCTTCCTACGCCCTGCCTGTCCGGGGGGCGCACACACATGGGCCTCGGCATTTTTCAGGCTGGATGGGCCTGGAAGTGCGGTCAGCCACGTGGGGCCCAGCTCTCTACCTGCTGGTCTCTGTGTTGGACCCGGAAGCATTTGATTTTTACTTAATTTTTCTCTCCTATCGGAAATACATGACAGTTTCATGTAGTATAAGAATATACTAATGCATTTTATTTTTACAGCTTAGCATTTGTGCTCTTGAGAGCAGTTCAGAATCACCCAGTCGCAGGTGGAGTGCCACGTCGGTGCCGGCAGTTGGCAGCGACAAAGTGGTGTGTTGGCAGAGCCGAGTGGCCGGGGTCCTGCTGGCTGGCCTGAACTTTCCCAGCTGCCGATCTGCCTTGTGACGATGGCTTCAGGAAGGGCAGCTGCCCGAGCGCGCGCACATCACACGGATGTTTCTCTGGGACGTCGCGTGGCCCTGGGGTTCACAGCGCGCATGGGGAGGCCAGGAGAGGGGTGCGGCCCTGCCCAGGCTGCCTGAGGCGCTACGGCCCTGGGGCCCTGCTGTCCACCGCCTGTCACTGTTGGATGCGGAGCTTGAACTCCACCTTCCCCTCATACTGGTCGTGGGGGTTGTTGGAGGTCACGTGGTCTGCGAGGACCTTGCACACGATGACGACGTCGGGGACGTTGAGAAGCTTGGCGGCCACCAGAGGGTTGCTGTAGTGAGGCTGAGGTGGGGTGGGCGGAGAGCGCGTGAGGGGGACGTGCAGCACAGCGTGGTGCGTGGGAGGCTGACCGCCCTTGTCCGTCCCCCATTAGACATGGGAGGCCTGGCCTGGGGGACAGACTGCCCGAGGCTGAAGGCCCCTCTGCCTCCTGATGAAGTGAGGGAACCGAGCCTATGGAGAGGAGAGAGGGGAGCGCGGGACAGGAAGGCTGGGGCGGTGGAGCGCAGGGGTAGTGTGATGTCCGCGGCTGCCCCAGACGGTGTGGGTCCAGCTCATTCCAGGGGCTGGTTTGGGAGCCCCCAGGTCCTGCCCCGGGGACACGCCCTTGCTCTCCTCGAGACACGCACATGCCCACGTGTGGCGGGGCGGCGTGGGCACCCACCTGCGCCCTCCGGCCGTAGTAGGGGAAGTAGTGCAGGCTGTAGGTGCCGCCGTGTGGGTAGTACTCCACCTGCAGGGGTGCGGCGTCCTGGTGGGGCTTGTCCTAGGGAGGGAGGCCGCGGCTTGAGAGGCAGAGCCGCCGCGTCGCGAGGACACCGTGGGCCGTGCCCACTTAGGCGTGTCTGCTCACTGAGGAGGAATCACCCGCCCGCAGTCCCTCGTCCTCCTTGAGGCACACACACCCTGTGATTTTCTAGTCACTGACGGCGGGAGGCCTTGTGAGAGTTCAGCCCTAACCCACCACGCCACCTGCTGGCCCCAGATCTGGTTTTTAACAACGTAGCTCGTACAGAGCTGTCTGGAAATCCTGGACTCCACAGAGACCAACTCCAGCAGCCCTTTCTCGGACCGCGGGTACGAGGACGGCAGACAGTGCACTGGGACGCGGGTACGAGGACGGCAGACAGCGGACTGGGACGCGGGTACGAGGACGGCAGACAGTGGACGGGACGCGGGTTCCCATGTCACTACCAAGCATGTTTTCTTTTCATTTAAGAATTTTTTTAATTGCCAGAGGGTGCACGCACTTGCCAGAGAGAGACAGTAGGGAGGGAGCGGGCGCTGAGGGGGTGCACAGTCCCTTCTCCACGCCCTGCCCTCTAGACGCCAGCACGCGCACACACCCAGTGTGTTCTTCAAGCCTCCAGGGACCCCCCCACTGCATGGTCTGCCGCACAGGACCAGGCTCCCGGCCACCAGGCCATGGGCCAGCCCCTGGGACCTCGTGAGCCTGAGGTCCTCGCCACCCAGCTGCCTCTGGGGCGGGGCGGAAGGCGTTGCCCTCATTCTGGGTTTCATCCCATAAATAAAACTCAGAGCCGGTGGCTCAGGGCCTGGCCCATCTGGCTGGGAGTCCAGAGTGTTCCTGAGGAGGATAGGCCGAGTGGCTCCGTGTGCGAGGCTCACCCCGCGCCCCGTCCTGGCCACACTCACCCGGAAGGCGCAGTCCACTCTGGGGGCTGTGCCGTTGCTGGGGAGGAACTTCACGATCTGGAAGGGAGAGGGGGCGCAAGAAGGCGTGGGGCCTGGCAGGCCAGCCCAGGCACCCCACCAGGGCCAGGAAGGGCCCTAGGCCTGGGTGGCGGCTCTTCTCCCGGACACTAATTCCTCCTTCAAAGTCCCCACTCCCAGTGCAGGTGGCAGACTGTGTTGGCATACGTGTGGCTGCCACCTTTGGGGCTGCATGGCTGTGTGCCTCCTGCCCAGGTATCCTGCCCTGCCGGCCTCTTGCTCAGCCCCGTCTGGCCCTCCAGGGCCCCTGCAAGTCCCGCCCTTCCCTGGGCCCTCCTGGGCCCCACGTGAGTTGCTGGGGGACAGCCCCGTGGGCAGCTGACAAAACTCTGGCTGGCCACAGGGCCGCCGGCGTGTGCAGGGCCCAGACCAGGTGTCAGAGCTTTCCGAGGAGAAAAGCCCTGAGTGCAGGCCGGAGCCTGGCTGCCTTCCCTGAGATGGCCCTGCTCCCACAGCTCCTATGCTGCGCCCTCCTGGGGCTGTGCCCTGCTTGGTGGCCCTGACCCCTTCTCCCTGGCCCTGGTTCTCTGGGCACCCTGACGGAGGGCCTGGCACCCACGTGGCTTCAGACTGGATTTAAGGTGGCAATGTCGGCGGACCCTCAGGCTCAGGTCCCCAGCCTGCACCCAGGAAGCCTGTTCCGGAGGGCACCTGCCTATGGAGGCTCCCTGCCTCACCCTGTTCATTTTAATGATGAAGCATGGCTTTCCTTCCCTGAAGCCGAAGTCAGGATCCAGCAGGCCCGAGCAGTTGTGCAGCATCTGCGCTGTGAACTGGCAGGAGAACTTGGTGTGGTTCGGAGCCTCGAAACGCTCCTGGAAGTAGTACGTCTCCGAGGTGCAGTTGACGCTGTTCTCCTGAGCGGCCGGGCTGTAACCTGCAGATGGGCAGCCTGCACGCACCCCGCACGCACCCTGCACCCTCCCCGCACCCTCCCCACACCCATCCTGCACATGCCCTGCCGCACCCCGGGAGGCGTGAGGAGTGCGCCCCTCATGCCCTCACCTTCCAGGAAGGTGTGCAGGGTGTGCACGAGGCCTGCCCAGGTCCTGTTGTCCGAGACGTTGTAAGAGATTTCCAGGCCTTTCTCCCCGTACACATCTGGCCTCAGGGTCACCCCTGGAGGGGCAGGCAGCACACTTTGCTCATGGCTGTGCAGCCTGTGTGAGCTGCGGGAGGCCCGTCTGTACAGCACCCACGAGCCTCAGGCCAGCCTCTCCCGGCCTAGCGAATGCACGGCAGCACAGCGAGGAGGGGCCAGAGGCCAGTCCCACTGGGCTCAGCTCAGCCTATGTGGTTCCTAGACCTGGGTGGCGCGAGACCCCAGATGGGCCTGGGCTGGCAGGGAGCCGGCTGATCTGGGGTCTGAAGCCGTGTTTTGTGTTTTCAGAGGTCTTTCGCCCTAGGATGTGTGCACTGGCCGGAGAGACGGACACAGTGAGTGGGACCTGGCCATGCTCTGGGCCCTCCATCCTCCTCCCGGGATCTCGGGCATGCACACAGGCACTTGGTGTGACCTTTAACCCACTAGGTCTGGGACTCGAACCACAGTCAGCCAGGTAGGAGTCCAGCAGTGTAACTGCTACGCCATCTGCTGGCCTGAGACTGGGTTTGTAGATGAGCTAGGTTTGAGTCGCCCGCACCTCCCCTGGCTCGGCCAAGCATGAAAGCACCTAACAGGGCACTCCCCTGGAGCGTCGCAGCACGCGAGAGCAGGCCACAGCACAGCCACGGCCCTGCCAGTGCCGGGGAGCCCTACAGGTCCTGCTTCGTGAGTGCGAGGCAGGGCGAGGTTTGTGTTGTGTCACTGCCCGCGGGTGGGACCAGCTCCACGACCCTGCCCCTGTGACCCCAGAGGCCATCAGTCCCTGCAAACAGCCCAGCCCTGCGAAGGGGTTGACGTCGGTGGGTGTTACTGAGTCACCAAGTAGCAGCTGCACGCAGCTGAGCGAGAGCCTTGCCCTCTGCCCTCCCTCTCCTCGCTGCCCCCTCTGCCCTGAGTCCACCCCAGACGTGGATGGCCAGGGCTCCTCCGCCTACACCTGCTGTCCTCATCTTCCAGGTGGCTCCCAGGAGCAGTTACTTGAAATGCCTTCCGGAAAGCTCCCTTGGGCTGCATGGACCATGAAGGAGTGAGCAGTGGGATGTCCGGCCCACAGCCAAGGCCTTGTCTTGTATCAGTTACAACAGAGCCCAGCCAGGCTTCAGAATGTGGGGCGTCTCCTTCTGGGGGAAAGTGAGGCCCGCCACCCAGGGATCAAGTGCCATGTGGCCAGCAGGGGCTTCGTGGGCCTCTGCCAGGAGGGCTTGTGCCCAGCCCGAGGGACCGCAGTCAGCCCGTGAGAGCCTCCTGCTCCAGGACTGAGCGGCCCCGCGGCTCACCTGGAGACTTGAGCTGGTCCTGGAAGTCGGGCGTGTATGGGTCGATGGTTGACATCAGCGTGTAGAGGCTCAAGGCGAAGAGCCCTGTCATCACCACGTAGAAACCCACGTAGTAGAGGCTGATCCACACTGTGGGGACAGGCCACGCACCACCTGAGGGCTGGAGCACGCCCGGGCGGCGTCCCCCCACTGGGCGGAGCGCGCTGGGGTGCAGAGTCCTGGACCACCACCTCTGCTCGGTCCCAGCACATTCTCAATAAGGGGGGACCCCTGCCCCCAGCAGTCCCATCCCTGCCCTCCCGTCCCCACAGCCTTGGCCGCCTGCTTCTCTCTCCGGATCCACCTGGGAACACCTGCACAGACAGGCCACCATCTGGCCTCAGCCAGGCCGTAGCTGCCCGATGGACATGCTTGGCTGCCTAGTGGTGGTCCGGCCTGCTGGCAGCTGCCCAAGCGGGTCAGGGTTAGGGTCAGGGTGGCCACCCACAGCCGAAGCTCGCCCTGGGCCCTCCGCTGGGCCCTCCCTGGCCGGCTGGGGCTGGAGCCTGAGCACAGAGCCCAAGGTGCCGTCTCCACGTTGTCACTGATGTGGCCACAGGGACCTGGTGGCGGAGCAGCAGGAGGGTGCCCTGGGAACACGGTCACGCAGCTGCGAGGCCCCCGGCCAGCTGGGCTGCGTGAACAGGAAGAGAGGGATGGAGGTCTTGAAGATGGCTATCCTCAGGGCGGGCGTCACAGGGCCCAGACGGCTCAGGGCATGTGAGCCCCTTGGCTTGCCATCTCCTGAGACTCTGCTTCTCTGAGCATCACTCCCCACGGTCACCTCCCCGGGCCGTGTGCCCACCGGGAGGCAGCAGCAGGACTCCGCCTCCTGCGTTAACAGCTCCTGGCGGTGGTCCCGGGGCAGGGGCTGGAGAGGGCCACGCGTCTGTGTCAGCCCATCCTGTCTGCTGTGGCAGTGTCTTCTCAGCGAGTCACTCTCAATGGCCCTTGGCCACAGCGGGCAGCACCGGGCGTGGGGTGACAGGCCACAGCAGGACCACCATGTCCATGGGCGGCATTTCTCCCAGTGGCCGCTGGTTTCTACCCCAGGGCTGGTCATTGCTGGTCACCACTGACACATCCTGGCCTGTGGTTGACCTGGGCATCTGCCTGTGGCCTCTGCAGTGTCGTCACCTGGCTGGCTGGTTCTGGTGACTGACCCACTCCCTGGACGCTGGAGGAGGGGCGTTCTGCTGGATGGTTCCTGCCCCACCGCGGGCCTCCGAGCTGTCCCGCCTGTGGCCGTGTGGCCTGAGCTGTGGCAGCTAGCTCCACTGTGTCCCACTCGCCCCTCAGGCCTGCGGTGCGGCTCAGAGCAGGTGCTTCCAGAAGCGGGGCCTTGGCCGTCCTGTGGGGAGGTCCTGCTGGGCCCACAGTCCGTGTGGGTCCTGCCTCTGAGTCACCCAGCCTTGCAAGGCACGTCACGCTGTGGAGCCCAAGGCTGAGGAGGCCAGCCTCCCGGGCAGGGCACCCCGCCTGCTGCTGACTGGTGAGCATGCACCGCCGTCCAGCAATGGCTGGGAGGATGATGAGTGGGTGCCACCACGTCAGGAGCTGGCAGTGCCACACGGGACCCTGTGCCTCAGCTTCCCCACCTGGACACGGCAGATCCCAGCCCTCGCTCCTGGGTACGAGGCCCAGAGCTGCTGGTGGTGAGAGGTGGGCATCGTGGGGATGCGCAGGAGCTCCAGGGCCGTGGCCACTGGCTTTTATAACGCACTGTCCGCGCGCCCGTACTTGGGAGCCTCAGCGAGACAGGTCCTGGGGCAGCTGAGACTCCGCCCTCGGCACACACCTCAGGGCCCGGCCCGCACCACCCGCCTCCAGGCTGCTGCCCTCAGTGCCCGGCCGGGACCCACTCCTCCAGGCCCCGCACGCCCTAGGACAGACCTGTGTGCTGTGCTTGCCGTCTGGCCACGTGCCAGCCGGCTCCTGTGCCCTGTGAGAACGCAGATCCTTGGGAAGGGGCTTGGGGTCCCTGCTCTGCCTCCGTGCTGCGAAGCATGGTGCCTGCCTGTTTGGGGGGCTTGGTGGCTGTGGAAGACAGAGTGGCCGAGCGACTGAACCTGGCCCCGGCCCGCCTCGTCTGGGCTGCCACTCCCTCTTCTCCCCTTGGGTGGTGGGAGGGGTCAGGCCTGGCCAAGGCAGGCGTGGGACCCTGTGTCCCCAACGTGCCAGGCAGGTCTGAGGAGCTGGCTGTGGTGGGCACCCGGGGGGCCTTTCCTAGGTGGGGCTGTCAGCCCGTTCTCGAAGGGCGGTGTAGGCCGGGAGCCAGAGACAGGGAGGGACCTGAGGGGTTCGCTGCTGCTGGGGCTCCTTGAGCAGGGAGTTTCCGAGAGCTTCCTGCCCGGGGAGGATAGCCGCGCTGTCTGCGGGCTGTGACCGGTCCCCATGGACTTGGAGAGCTCCCTAGTGAGGGCGTGTCCCTGACGGTCTCACCAAGAGCCACCACCCAGCTGAACTCGCTTAGAAAGAGTTTGTTTCAGAAGCAGCGCCCTGAACGTGCCGCCTCGTGCAGGCAAGTTCTAGAGTCCCCCCACGGGGGCCCAGAGCCAGGCGTCAGGGCGAAATGGGCTTGGGGCTGCCGGGGCCACCCCCACTCCGTGGCAGCGAGGCCAGGGCTGGGCCTTGCCGTGGTCCCCCTCCCGGCCTGGGAGGCCACACGTACCCCAGCGGGACAGGGTGCGGCCCAGCAGCTGGCCCGTGTCTGGGTTCCAGCAATAGTGCCGGAACTCCTCCATCCGCTGGCCGCACGACTTCTTCTCCTGCAGCGCCGCCATCCCCGTGCACGGCTTCCTCTGCACCCTT